GATATACTGGACACTTCCATCATCAGACTGATCTCCTAGAGGAGTGTTCTCTAGAGGAATGGACGTGGATGGACTGTCTGGCTGCGACGACTGAGATGCGCGTAGTGAGTGATCCGTATAGATGACACGGACGTTTGATCCGCGTTGGGAAATAGCCCGTTCTTGTCTGCTAGAAGGGTCGTGTTCGCGACTTCTAAGAAACTATTGGCCTGATCATTTTCGCCTAGGAGACACGAACGACGAGTGCCGTAGAAGAGTTCGTGGTATATTTGAAGTATAGTTAATAGACGTACTCCTACTTAGACCATCCCTTTTTTCGATGTCATTTACACCGCTGACACTTGTGTACCGTCTTCGAAATCTTGATCTTCTACTTTTCCCCATTCAGATAAGCACTTCTGTCTGCGAACTGAGAGCTATTATCGAATTGGGTACTCGCACGTGACTCACCCCCTGAAGATTGTGACGAACCCTGAGAGTTTTCACGAGAGCCACGTGACGTTTCTCCTGGACCCACTGGAACCTCTTCAGAACCTTGCGGAATATTTTCCGATCCTGTATTCTTCGTGTAGCTGTTTTGACTTTGAACCTTCCATGTGCGCCTGTTTCGAGGTAGCCCGTGGAAAGAACAAGAGTAATAACGCACCCTTGCTTGAAGTTACCTGAGGAAGGCGATCGGCAAAAGCACTATTTGTAGGCCGCTCTGTTCTTGGCATTTCAGGAAACAATGGTGGAGCATTAGCACCACTGATTGGCCATGTTGTGTCAGAGAATTGCCATGTCGGCTCAAGATCTGATGTCGTTCCAACGCTCCGTGCCACTGCTGCAGCCTCTACCATTTAGTCATAGCAGGCGTGAATTTCGGGTGCGAATGACATTATAGTGATCTACAGACAGGACACCCCTGGCCCAAAGAAACACCATTCGTGTTTTCGCCGTAAGGTTTGGAATGCTCGGTTTTTTGCCGAATCGTTTCACTCTCCTGAGCGTTTACTTGGTAAAAACTCTCACTTGAGGGGTCAAAAAAGGTATCCTGCTCTTGGTATGTTCCAAATATAGCCTGCACCGCTGGCTGTGAAGATGTAGATTTATGTTGAAGCTCAGCTGGGATGTCAACGAACGCAGAGCTGAAAGAGTCTGCGGCATCAATTTTCTCAGGCAGTGGTGCTTCCGAACATATTTCCACACTCGGTCGCGCTTCATGCACGAAAGATACGGAAAAGTTTTTCTGGGGTTAGTTTGCCATTTACACTACTTCAGAAATATCAGTCGCACACGTTTGAGCTACCGGCCCATACCCCCTGGCAGAAGGCGGTGACCTTCGCTCGATACAGCAGGAGGAGAACACTCATAGCTCGACATGTCATCATCTGCTCCTGATGTTGCTTCGGATACTTCACTGACCCTTCCTTTTCTTTTTCCTCTAATTGCGGTGAGGTTCGCACATGTGAAAGTATTGGAGAACCAGCGTCAGATGGCAAGTCTTGATCGGCTCCTGATTGTGGGGGCGCGCTTCCGACGCTCCTCTCGACCTGTCGCTTTTCCAACTCTGCTGCGTAGCGTGGCAGATCAGTATCTTCTGCTGAGAACAAATCCTTTCTCAACTCTTCAACAGCTGTTGGTTGAGGGGCTGGTTGGAACGTGAGTGACGATTCTTCCGCGAGCCTTTGAATGTACGCTATGTGGTCTAGCTCTTCTTGTGTTAGCTCGCCGCCTTGATCCATTGCTCCAGTACCCTCCGCAGCTAATGTAGGTTGTGGCGACGGCTCTGCTGCGAACGATGTTTCCTCTGCGAGCCTTTGAATGTACGCTATGTGGTCTAACTCTTCTTGCGTGAGCATTGGCTCGGATGGAACCTCTGCTGCTTTGGAAACGGCGATGTCAATTTCTTCGGCTGACCATGACGGCAATGGTCTGGATGGTATTTCCGGGCGTATGGTTTCCTCGTGCACTGCATCAACAAAAGGTTCTGCCGCGATAGGTTGCTCTTGTTCTTCCAATTGTGGTGAAGTTCGTTCATACAACGGCAATGGAGAACCAGCATCAGATGGCAAGTCTTGATCGGCTCCTGATGTCGCTTCCGACGCTTCTCTCGACTCTTCGCTTTCCAACTGACTGCTAGCCGGTAGCGTGGCAGATCAGTATCTTCTGCTGAGAACAAATCCTTTCTCAACTCTTCAACAGCTGTTGGTTGAGGGGCTGGTTGGAACGTGAGTGACGATTCTTCCGCGAGCCTTTGAATGTACGGCCTAAGTGTGGTTCTAGCTCTTCTTGTGTTAGCTCGCCGCCTTGATCCATTGCTCCAGTACCCTCCGCAGCTAATGTAGGTTGTGGCGACGGCTCTGCTGCGAACGATGTTTCCTCTGCGAGCCTTTGAATGTACGCTATGTGGTCTAACTCTTCTTTGCGTGAGCATTGGCTCGGATGGAACCTCTGCTGCTTTGGAAACGGCGATGTCAATTTCTTCGGCTGACCATGACGGCAATGGTCTGGATGGTATTTCCGGGCGTATGGTTTCCTCGTGCACTGCATCAACAAAAGGTTCTGCCGCGATAGGTTGCTCTTGTTCTTCCAATTGTGGTGAAGTTCGTTCATACAACGGCAATGGAGAACCAGCATCAGATGGCAAGTCTTGATCGGCTCCTGATGTCGCTTCCGACGCTTCTCTCGACTCTTCGCTTTCCAACTCTGCTGCGTAGCGTGGCAGATTCAGTTAATCTTCTAGGCTGAGAACAATTCCTTTCTCAAAACTCTTCAACAGCTGTTGGTTGAGGGGCTGGTTGGAACGTGAGTGACGATTCTTCCGCGAGCCTTTGAATGTACGCTATGTGGTCTAGCTCTTCTTGTGTTAGCTCGCCGCCTTGATCCATTGCTCCAGTACCCTCCGCAGCTAATGTAGGTTGTGGCGACGGCTCTGCTGCGAACGATGTTTCCTCTGCGAGCCTTTGAATGTACGCTATGTGGTCTAACTCTTCTTGCGTGAGCATTGGCTCGGATGGAACCTCTGCTGCTTTGGAAACGGCGATGTCAATTTCTTCGGCTGACCATGACGGCAATGGTCTGGATGGTATTTCCGGGCGTATGGTTTCCTCGTGCACTGCATCAACAAAAGGTTCTGCCGCGATAGGTTGCTCTTGTTCTTCCAATTGTGGTGAAGTTCGTTCATACAACGGCAATGGAGAACCAGCATCAGATGGCAAGTCTTGATCGGCTCCTGATGTCGCTTCCGACGCTTCTCTCGACTCTTCGCTTTCCAACTCTGCTGCGTAGCGTGGCAGATCAGTATCTTCTGCTGAGAACAAATCCTTTCTCAACTCTTCAACAGCTGTTGGTTGAGGGGCTGGTTGGAACGTGAGTGACGATTCTTCCGCGAGCCTTTGAATGTACGCTATGTGGTCTAGCTCTTCTGTGTTAGCTCGCCGCCTTGATCCATTGCTCCAGTACCCTCCGCAGCTAATGTAGGTTGTGGCGACGGCTCTGCTGCGAACGATGTTTCCTCTGCGAGCCTTTGAATGTACGCTATGTGGTCTAACTCTTCTTGCGTGAGCATTGGCTCGGATGGAACCTCTGCTGCTTTGGAAACGGCGATGTCAATTTCTTCGGCTGACCATGACGGCAATGGTCTGGATGGTATTTCCGGGCGTATGGTTTCCTCGTGCACTGCATCAACAAAAGGTTCTGCCGCGATAGGTTGCTCTTGTTCTTCCAATTGTGGTGAAGTTCGTTCATACAACGGCAATGGAGAACCAGCATCAGATGGCAAGTCTTGATCGGCTCCTGATGTCGCTTCCGACGCTTCTCTCGACTCTTCGCTTTCCAACTCTGCTGCGTAGCGTGGCAGATCAGTATCTTCTGCTGAGAACAAATCCTTTCTCAACTCTTCAACAGCTGTTGGTTGAGGGCTGGTTGGAACGTGAGTGACGATTCTTCCGCGAGCCTTTGAATGTACGCTATGTGGTCTAGCTCTTCTTGTGTTAGCTCGCCGCCTTGATCCATTGCTCCAGTACCCTCCGCAGCTAATGTAGGTTGTGGCGACGGCTCTGCTGCGAACGATGTTTCCTCTGCGAGCCTTTGAATGTACGCTATGTGGTCTAACTCTTCTTGCGTGAGCATTGGCTCGGATGGAACCTCTGCTGCTTTGGAAACGGCGATGTCAATTTCTTCGGCTGACCATGACGGCAATGGTCTGGATGGTATTTCCGGGCGTATGGTTTCCTCGTGCACTGCATCAACAAAAGGTTCTGCCGCGATAGGTTGCTCTTGTTCTTCCAATTGTGGTGAAGTTCGTTCATACAACGGCAATGGAGAACCAGCATCAGATGGCAAGTCTTGATCGGCTCCTGATGTCGCTTCCGACGCTTCTCTCGACTCTTCGCTTTCCAACTCTGCTGCGTAGCGTGGCAGATCAGTATCTTCTGCTGAGAACAAATCCTTTCTCAACTCTTCAACAGCTGTTGGTTGAGGGGCTGGTTGGAACGTGAGTGACGATTCTTCCGCGAGCCTTTGAATGTACGCTATGTGGTCTAGCTCTTCTTGTGTTAGCTCGCCGCCTTGATCCATTGCTCCAGTACCCTCCGCAGCTAATGTAGGTTGTGGCGACGGCTCTGCTGCGAACGATGTTTCCTCTGCGAGCCTTTGAATGTACGCTATGTGGTCTAACTCTTCTTGCGTGAGCATTGGCTCGGATGGAACCTCTGCTGCTTTGGAAACGGCGATGTCAATTTCTTCGGCTGACCATGACGGCAATGGTCTGGATGGTATTTCCGGGCGTATGGTTTCCTCGTGCACTGCATCAACAAAAGGTTCTGCCGCGATAGGTTGCTCTTGTTCTTCCAATTGTGGTGAAGTTCGTTCATACAACGGCAATGGAGAACCAGCATCAGATGGCAAGTCTTGATCGGCTCCTGATGTCGCTTCCGACGCTTCTCTCGACTCTTCGCTTTCCAACTCTGCTGCGTAGCGTGGCAGATCAGTATCTTCTGCTGAGAACAAATCCTTTCTCAACTCTTCAACAGCTGTTGGTTGAGGGGCTGGTTGGAACGTGAGTGACGATTCTTCCGCGAGCCTTTTGAATGTACGCTATGTGGTCTAGCTCTTCTTGTGTTAGCTCGCCGCCTTGATCCATTGCTCCAGTACCCTCCGCAGCTAATGTAGGTTGTGGCGACGGCTCTGCTGCGAACGATGTTTCCTCTGCGAGCCTTTGAATGTACGCTATGTGGTCTAACTCTTCTTGCGTGAGCATTGGCTCGGATGGAACCTCTGCTGCTTTGGAAACGGCGATGTCAATTTCTTCGGCTGACCATGACGGCAATGGTCTGGATGGTATTTCCGGGCGTATGGTTTCCTCGTGCACTGCATCAACAAAAGGTTCTGCCGCGATAGGTTGCTCTTGTTCTTCCAATTGTGGTGAAGTTCGTTCATACAACGGCAATGGAGAACCAGCATCAGATGGCAAGTCTTGATCGGCTCCTGATGTCGCTTCCGACGCTTCTCTCGACTCTTCGCTTTCCAACTCTGCTGCGTAGCGTGGCAGATCAGTATCTTCTGCTGAGAACAAATCCTTTCTCAACTCTTCAACAGCTGTTGGTTGAGGGGCTGGTTGGAACGTGAGTGACGATTCTTCCGCGAGCCTTTGAATGTACGCTATGTGGTCTAGCTCTTCTTGTGTTAGCTCGCCGCCTTGATCCATTGCTCCAGTACCCTCCGCAGCTAATGTAGGTTGTGGCGACGGCTCTGCTGCGAACGATGTTTCCTCTGCGAGCCTTTGAATGTACGCTATGTGGTCTAACTCTTCTTGCGTGAGCATTGGCTCGGATGGAACCTCTGCTGCTTTGGAAACGGCGATGTCAATTTCTTCGGCTGACCATGACGGCAATGGTCTGGATGGTATTTCCGGGCGTATGGTTTCCTCGTGCACTGCATCAACAAAAGGTTCTGCCGCGATAGGTTGCTCTTGTTCTTCCAATTGTGGTGAAGTTCGTTCATACAACGGCAATGGAGAACCAGCATCAGATGGCAAGTCTTGATCGGCTCCTGATGTCGCTTCCGACGCTTCTTCTCTCGACTCTTCGCTTTCCAACTCTGCTGCGTAGCGTGGCAGATCAGTATCTTCTGCTGAGAACAAATCCTTTCTCAACTCTTCAACAGCTGTTGGTTGAGGGGCTGGTTGGAACGTGAGTGACGATTCTTCCGCGAGCCTTTGAATGTACGCTATGTGGTCTAGCTCTTCTTGTGTTAGCTCGCCGCCTTGATCCATTGCTCCAGTACCCTCCGCAGCTAATGTAGGTTGTGGCGACGGCTCTGCTGCGAACGATGTTTCCTCTGCGAGCCTTTGAATGTACGCTATGTGGTCTAACTCTTCTTGCGTGAGCATTGGCTCGGATGGAACCTCTGCTGCTTTGGAAACGGCGATGTCAATTTCTTCGGCTGACCATGACGGCAATGGTCTGGATGGTATTTCCGGGCGTATGGTTTCCTCGTGCACTGCATCAACAAAAGGTTCTGCCGCGATAGGTTGCTCTTGTTCTTCCAATTGTGGTGAAGTTCGTTCATACAACGGCAATGGAGAACCAGCATCAGATGGCAAGTCTTGATCGGCTCCTGATGTCGCTTCCGACGCTTCTCTCGACTCTTCGCTTTCCAACTCTGCTGCGTAGCGTGGCAGATCAGTATCTTCTGCTGAGAACAAATCCTTTCTCAACTCTTCAACAGCTGTTGGTTGAGGGGCTGGTTGGAACGTGAGTGACGATTCTTCCCAGCGAGCACTTTGAATATACGCTATGTGGTCTAGCTCTTCTTGTGTTAGCTCGCCGCCTTGATCCATTGCTCCAGTACCCTCCGCAGCTAATGTAGGTTGTGGCGACGGCTCTGCTGCGAACGATGTTTCCTCTGCGAGCCTTTGAATGTACGCTATGTGGTCTAACTCTTCTTGCGTGAGCATTGGCTCGGATGGAACCTCTGCTGCTTTGGAAACGGCGATGTCAATTTCTTCGGCTGACCATGACGGCAATGGTCTGGATGGTATTTCCGGGCGTATGGTTTCCTCGTGCACTGCATCAACAAAAGGTTCTGCCGCGATAGGTTGCTCTTGTTTACAACTGTGGTGAAGTTCGTTCATACAACGGCAATGGAGAACCAGCATCAGATGGCAAGTCTTGATCGGCTCCTGATGTCGCTTCCGACGCTTCTCTCGACTCTTCGCTTTCCAACTCTGCTGCGTAGCGTGGCAGATCAGTATCTTCTGCTGAGAACAAATCCTTTCTCAACTCTTCAACAGCTGTTGGTTGAGGGGCTGGTTGGAACGTGAGTGACGATTCTTCCGCGAGCCTTTGAATGTACGCTATGTGGTCTAGCTCTTCTTGTGTTAGCTCGCCGCCTTGATCCATTGCTCCAGTACCCTCCGCAGCTAATGTAGGTTGTGGCGACGGCTCTGCTGCGAACGATGTTTCCTCTGCGAGCCTTTTGGAAAATGTAAGCGCTATTGTGGTCTTAACTTCTTTGCGTGAGCATATGCGTCGATGGAACCTCTAGTTGCTGCTTTGGAAACGGCGATGTGTCAATTTCTTCGGCTGACCATGACGGCAATGGTCTGGATGGTATTTCCGGGCGTATGGTTTCCTCGTGCACTGCATCAACAAAAGGTTCTGCCGCGATAGGTTGCTCTTGTTCTTCCAATTGTGGTGAAGTTCGTTCATACAACGGCAATGGAGAACCAGCATCAGATGGCAAGTCTTGATCGGCTCCTGATGTCGCTTCCGACGCTTCTCTCGACTCTTCGCTTTCCAACTCTGCTGCGTAGCGTGGCAGATCAGTATCTTCTGCTGAGAACAAATCCTTTCTCAACTCTTCAACAGCTGTTGGTTGAGGGGCTGGTTGGAACGTGAGTGACGATTCTTCCGCGAGCCTTTGAATGTACGCTATGTGGTCTAGCTCTTCTTGTGTTAGCTCGCCGCCTTGATCCATTGCTCCAGTACCCTCCGCAGCTAATGTAGGTTGTGGCGACGGCTCTGCTGCGAACGATGTTTCCTCTGCGAGCCTTTGAATGTACGCTATGTGGTCTAACTCTTCTTGCGTGAGCATTGGCTCGGATGGAACCTCTGCTGCTTTGGAAACGGCGATGTCAATTTCTTCGGCTGACCATGACGGCAATGGTCTGGATGGTATTTCCGGGCGTATGGTTTCCTCGTGCACTGCATCAACAAAAGGTTCTGCCGCGATAGGTTGCTCTTGTTCTTCCAATTGTGGTGAAGTTCGTTCATACAACGGCAATGGAGAACCAGCATCAGATGGCAAGTCTTGATCGGCTCCTGATGTCGCTTCCGACGCTTCTCTCGACTCTTCGCTTTCCAACTCTGCTGCGTAGCGTGGCAGATCAGTATCTTCTGCTGAGAACAAATCCTTTCTCAACTCTTCAACAGCTGTTGGTTGAGGGGCTGGTTGGAACGTGAGTGACGATTCTTCCGCGAGCCTTTGAATGTACGCTATGTGGTCTAGCTCTTCTCGCGTCATTTCGCCGCCTTGGTGAAGTGCTCCTGTACCTTTTGTAATTAATGCGGGTTGGGGTGTGGCTGAACAGCTCTTCATATGGTCCTTGTGGATCTCTGCAGCGATCACCTTCACGGACTGCCCATGCCAAAGGTGATTCGTTCTGAAGACAGTTCTCGCCCTAATTCTACGCAGTGATGTTCTGTATCATAGCTACCTCGCTGTTCAAGCCCCGCTGCCTTGTAAGCAGAATCCCAATATCGTATGCTTTGTCCTCTTCTGCTTGAGAAGTCTTCAACTTTTCCGGCCGAACATTTTCACAGTGAGTCGTCATTCTAACTATCGGCCGGGACCTGTAATTACTAATACAGTTGTAGTGTTTCTACTTGTCTGTTCCCCCGTATGCGTGATGCATATCAACTGCTTATTATACATTGGTTATGTTTAAAAAAATCTTATAATTTACTTGAATAAACACAGTGAGGGGGTGGACGTGCATGAGACATCGTTTTTTTCTCGACTTAGTGGTAATATTGAACTGCGAAAGGCCAAGAATGTGGACTATGCCTACTGCTCTTGCTACTCCACTTCCATAGACTCAATACTAAGGATGTCTGAGTGGCAATAAAGCTTTAACTGATAGTGGAGAATGGTACTATGCAATGTCTGCCAGCTCTTCACTAGCTGTCGTTTGAGATCTGCTTGAACATTATCCCATCCACCAAACAAACAGTGTTGCTGCTCCTAGCAATTCATTGTGAAGCGGAGTGCAGTCGTGTACGCTGTGAAGCTGCTGATACTGTGGTGCTATACTACATTACTCATTTCTGATCAGTACTCAGTACTTATATAATCAATCAGTAATATATATCAGAAGAGTTCACACTGAAATCAACTCGAATCAATTCCCTGCTGTCTGGTTTAGTAAATTTTTGTTGCAGTCTTGCATAACAACTGATGAGTCACCTCACTAACTTTCTCTGTTTATTCTTCCCTGGGGTACAGTTGTGACTCGAGTAGTGAACGGAACATGAGTCTTTCTGGTGCGAGACAGGGCGAGCGGGCTTGGTTACCAGAGCCGAGAAATTTGTTCATTTCTTGTGTGAGCTATTTGGTGATTATATCAGAACTGAAATCGGTCTACTACTGTCTCAGTCCCTCCACAGCGTATCAGATTAAGTTCTATTCATTTCAGTCGCTTGAGAGAGCAACATTTTTCCACGGAATGGCAACAACGTTTGATCCAGCAAGCTTCCAAAAGCGACAGTTGGTGAAAGCTGATAAACAGATATTGCCCTAAATATTTCGCATTGTCAGTCAAAGGTTACTGCCAGTCTCAGTAAAGTCAAAGGGGGAACAAACTATAGTACTGCATACAAGATTGTCTTTTGCAAGGTAACACAATAAAAATTGCAACGTCCTACCTTGTGTCGCTCGTGCGTGAGAACAGTATATCCAACCATAGAAGACAGCGAACTGGCAGCGAAAGACGGTATTCCATGGACTGGAGATAAGGTAAAGTCTTCCAGTTGATGTGAATCAAATTTAGAAACTTGTTCGATGCCCTCTCGAAGAGGATTCTAAGTTCGTACATAGTGAGGCAGGTTTTTCCGTCGTTGTTTCCAGACCTCTTGGCTTTATGGATTCTTCGGACTCCGTTTCGGTCGCCACAAGAGTTTCCAACCATGAAACATCTGCTGCTACATGGAATGTATCGCCTGAATCAACAAGTTCCGGGATGGTTAGTGATCCTGATGTGCGGCTCATGCCTCGCATAATCGGTATTCTCACGACTGGGAGACGAATCGTGATACACTCCATAAGCTGCGTCCATTCCTGGAATCACCTCCGATGTGCCATCCCATTCTCTTGTTAGGGCGGATCTAGACGGTAGCTCCCCTTCTACGATTTCCTCATGACCTGCATGCAGCGATGGTGATGTTGGTTCATACAAAAGAACTGGAGAACCGTCACCAGACACCTCCACTTGATCCTCATCTGATATGGCCTCGGAGAATTCTCTAGATTCTATGCTTTCCAATTCTGCAGCATAGCACGGTGGACCAAACTCTTCTTCTGCTAGCGAGTACACTACTCGTTCTTTCTCGCCTTCCGGTGCAAGGGATGCACAAGGTGGCGGTTGGAAGGTTAGTGCTGTTTCTTCAGCTAGTTTCTGAATGTAGGCGATGTGATCGAGTTCCTCTTGCGTCAGCGCTGGTTCCGATGGTACTTCTGGTGCAGTGGAACTGATGAAGCCTGCTTCGCCGGCTTCCCGCGGAGGAATTTGTGGCATGGATGGTAGTTCTGGTTCTACGATTTCCTCATGATCCGCCTCCAGCAGTGGTGAAGTTCGCTCGTACAGAGGAACTGGAGAACCGGCCTCAGAAGCCGCTAATTGGTCCGCTCCTGAAGTTGCCTCGGACTCATCTCTCGATTCTTGTCGAAGTTCTTCCCTATAGTCGAGTTCTTTTGCGGCAATCGAATCCCGTCTCAACTCTTCAACAGATGCTGATGGAGGTGGTGGACGAGGTGGCGGTTGGAAGGTTAGTGCTGTTTCTTCAGCTAGTTTCTGAATGTAGGCGATGTGATCGAGTTCCTCTTGCGTCAGCGCTGGTTCCGATGGTACTCCTGGTACACTGGAACTGATGACGCCTGCT